AAGAATTTGTCAAAAAACTCTAATTAATATAATAGTAATTATATAAAAATAAAAATGAGGAAATAATATATATATATATATATATATATATATTTTAAATATATGAAATGTCATCTTTTGGAGGTTTTATTTTTATTTTTATCATACGTCTATAAATTAATTAGTAGCATAAATCATCTCAGTTACTTTTCTAGAATTAATTACATAAATTTGCAAGATATGATGGTGTGCATTAAAGCAAAATAATAGCTAATAATGTTTGTGATTTTTTTTAATCTTTTATTTTTTTTGCTTCTTCAAGAAATTGCATCTATTTTTTTTATTTTTTTATTTTTTTGTCTTTTAATAATATCAAATCTACACATAAAGTTTAAAATAAAGAATTAAACTCTTAATTTTTTTTATTATTTTTTTTCCAATTTTTTAAAAGATTCAGGTCCTCAAATAAAAATGAATAAAATCTTGAGATAGAATATCTCACCTACATTAGGATCAATAAAATGCAATCTTTCCATTGAAAATCTATATTAGTATGTTTTCAATGTATTGGTAATTATATTACAAATTAAATGCTATAGAAATTACTTTTTATATATATTAGCAAGTAAAACATATAAAAGTACGTGTTTTAAATATTTCATAAGTATTTTCAGCATTTTTATTTTTAAATATGTCAAAAGAAAAATATTGGTTTTGAATTTAGATTAGATTACATCATAAGATACTCCAATAAAAGAAATAACAATAAAGACCATTTCTACAAGACATTGCAATCCAAATGACATTCATGTTGGGTGTTATCTTTAATAAATAAAGATTATAATATAGGCTCTAAAATCTTATATCTTATGTGTTAATTTGTTTTACACATCCTTTATTTACTTATTCTTAGACTCTAAAAAAAAAAAAAAAAATTCCAATAGATTTGATAGGACATTGTTATTTCACATGAATATTAAAAACAATTGTTATAGTTTTTTATTTGATGAATTATACATAATAATTGTATTATTCTAAAAATAACATAATTATGATTCTATTAATGTGTTTTTATTTTAAAACTACTTTTTTTTATAAATTTTCTATTAATATTTTATATTATTATATGCTTAATTCAACTTTTTAAAGAGTACATTGGATTAAATTTACTTAATTTAATGTTATTGAGTTATAAATTTTAACTGTTATTGTTGATTCACACATGATACTATTTATTTAATGTATAAATAGCTCAAAGATCAAGTTAAAAATTTCAAAGTTTTATTCAAGCATATACTAATTCTGTAAATAGGTAAAATTTTAATAATTTTTAAATAACTTCTACCATCATTGTTATAGAATTCTAAACAGTCCACTTTAAGAGGAAAAAAAATAAAATAAAATAAAATAAAGAAAAGAAGACTTCAACATCTTTCACAACGAATTTCATTATATATATGTATATATATATATATATATATAGATAATATTTTTTCACAACCCAAGAATATAGTCAAGCATGATTTAATATAATTCTCAAGTCATTGTTGAGTTATTCTCAAAACTAAGTTCAGTTTTGAGTTATTCTCAAAACTAAATATTCTTTATATATATATATATATAATATTTTATCACAACCCAAGAATATAGTCAAGCATGATTTAATATAATTCTCAAGTCATTGTTGAGTTATTCTCAAAACTAAGTTCAGTTTTATCTTTCATAATATAATTTGAGTAATGAGCAACTTTTTATAAATATAAAACAAGGTAAGAAGGAAATTATTCTTAAATTTTAAAACAATATACCATTATTGACTTTTTGTAAAAAGCATCTCACAAAAATTTACTTATCTTATATTTATTTATTTTTAAATTTTTATCTAAGAAGGCTTTATGCCAAAAATATGGTTGCATGACAATCAATTCTTCTATAGTAAAAATTCAACAATGCATTTTGTTGCTAGACAATTCATTATATTTGGTCTTTCAAAAGAAACTTATTACATAAAAACTTTTATACTACCAACAAGGTGTTTTTTTTCTTTAGTTTATCATGTAATAAAACATTAAAACTCTTTCACAAAATCAAAAAGATTATGACTTTTAATATCTAAGAAGTACCAATATTTACAAAAGTATATTACAAAACAAAGTATTATAATAATTAAGTTTTAGATGAACTTATATTATACCATATTTTAAGTATATTTTATTAAAAATATAATTTCAAAATCTATTGATAAAAAATAAAAAAAATAAATTTATAATATCCAAATAATTAAATTATATCCAAATTTTGTATTCTTTGTAGTATTCTCTTATTGTAGATTATTCTTTTGAATGAAATAGTTGATAAAAAAAAAACATGCTAATTCTTTGTCACTTCAATTTCTAATTTAAGTTTTGTGCAATTTTGTTTATGTATGAATGTTCATCTATATTAAATATTTTTTAAAAAAATGGACACAACTATGCCGCCACCAAAGTAGATTCTACCAATGACATTATATCATAATCAGAATGTTAATTAATCCTACTACTCAGATCAAAAAGCATTATGTGCACTTTCACGAAGCATTAGAAAGGTATATGTTCCATTGTTAATTTATTAAAGATACTTAATGTTTTTATTAAATCATGCATGTAAATTTTCTCATAAAATTTATATTTATATTTTACTAATTGACTGAAATAAATCTAATAATGCAGTTTAATACTTTACTTAATGCTAGTTGCTATTTTTGATATCTACCAAAATATATTGTAATCCAAATAAATGAGTTGGAATATAGCTTCTAAGATATTGCCAAATAGAACTAAATAAAATATCATCACATGAATTTAATAAACATAAATAAATTAGCTTCTTTTTAATAAATGGTTGTTGTAATGTTACTTTATTAACTGAAACATTATAAAAAAAAATTATGATTAAATTTATATTAGCTAAAATTTAAGGTATGACAATTTCTTGACGTAGATTTTTTTTGTCGTGATTTGCTCAACTTTGTAAAATCATGTAGTATTAAACAGATGGTTAGAATTATTGTTATAATACAAAATTAAAAAAAAAATTTAAAAACATTAATCACATATAGATCATGAAATCAAAGGAAACATACATAGTTAATAGAAAATTTGTTACTGTAGAAAACATAACTATCTGATTTTCATCTATTAGCCTTAGAAATAAAATCTTTTCACATAAGAAACAAAACTATCAATAATACATAACTATATAGAGGAATTAAACTTGTGTGAATTTACTTTGTGAATATTATACACACAATTCAAAGCATTCAAATTAAGTATGTAAATATGCAACATCCAGAAAGGTTAATGTGAAAAACTTTCTGGTACCCATAAATATTGAAACTTTTATGTTTAGCATGCTAATCTTGCCTGGTTGTTACCAAAAACAATACCTCATATGCACCTTCACGTATTATCTCCAGGTTTGGAGAATAATTACATGACCACTACCTTAGATATGTAAGTAAAATTAGAATTCTTAGTATCACATAGCAAAATTTCCAAAAATTAAATAAAATAAAGAAATAAAATAAATATCTCTTCAAAATCTCTCATCATCAAAGCTGGTCTGAGAACACTACGAGAATAAATAGACACTTTAGTTACGACAACATACTCACAACAACTATAAACAATCCCTACACATATAAGCATAGTCTCCTAGAACATGGCAAAACGCCATTAGTTCAAGATCTGAAATAAAAATCGACTGATAAAATCCCAACATACCGGATCAATCAGTTCTACAATTTGATGGCATATCAACCACTCAAATTGTCTTGCCAGAATCGATACCAGGGTTCACTGGAACTTTCACCCGCCTGCCGTGTAATCCGCCTCGCTGTAGACCCCTAATTCTTCTCCCTGCAGCACAAAGCAATCCTGCAGTTGCTTCCCCTCGATTTACCAAATAATAGCACAGGGGTATACTCCTTTCTGATCCCCCCAAAAAAACAAGTTCACACATTGCTCGGCACCCTTTGCTTCCTTGAAGACCCATGTTACTTCTGCAGTCGGAGGAAGGATTCTGGGTTTTGGAGACAGTTGGCCTCCGTCCCCGAACTGCCTGCAATGCCAGGGATTCAAGCGAGAATTCAGTCTCATGCTGCCGGGATCTTTCCCACTTCCATCGTTTTGGGAAGACTACGGCAGCGCAGAAACACAAGGTTTGCGAGTGGAAACGAAGCTGGACCAGTTCCCGCTCAATCAACGCTGGCCACATGCCAATCTGAATTGCTCCGATTGTCCCACCTTGCCGGATGCACAGAGGTTTGCACACGTTACGAAGGCGTGTCTGAAGCACGAAATACTGCATTCCCGGTGCTAACCAGGGTCCTCTCGTGCATTGCGTCTTCCATCTTGCCACGACGGATAAAGCCACCGCAGCCTTTGCTATCTGATGCTCATGTCCCACTGACAGCCCTGGCTTTCACAGTTTGTGAGATTTGACACCTGTGGGGCTAGAAAAGTGGGATCTGCAATGCAATGGTACTCGTGTTGTGCATGACGCTGAGGATAGCGGCTTCAATTTCCTATCATATTTCCCCAACCACGATACCCATGCAATCTCTGTGCAGATCGTTGCCGACGTCTGCGATCCAGTTCTCGGTTCCCTCAATAGAGACGATTTGTGGGATGATGCAACACCTGTGTGTTTGGACAAAAATATACCTCCTCAGAAGTTCCTGACACTGCAAAGCTTCCGGTCCAGAAATTCAATCACTGTGGCATGACCGGCAAATGGGACTTGACAAGCGCACGATTCCAATGCGATCACATATCAAACGAGCTCCAATGTGGAGGACTCTCACACAACTTGCCTGCCATCAACGGCACTCAGCGTATAAAACTTTGCATCGACCAGTGCCATCTCCGTGTGCTAATCACCATACTACCCCTCAGCACGCGGCAAGGCAAACTTAGCTGCGGCATCCACGTCCATACGCGACAATACAAAGCTTCAATCGACTCTTCCAAACTTCTGTATTCAAATAAAGGTGCTTGACTGTTTTATTCCAGATACATGTCCCTGAATACGAGATCAAGTACCCAATCATTTAATCCTTTTACAATCGCTCTGCAGAACTCCCTACTTCCAAGGATTCCCCTCAAACGTTCTACCTGCTCGAGCTTCCAAGAATGAACACTCACGATACACTTAAATTCTACATCTCCACACGTTGTCGTCTCGTCGATGGGGACTGCAAGATCCGCTTCACACGGACGGATGGCCGGCCAGTTTTCGCACGCCCATCTCGGACCGCGGAGCGCCGCCATGTTCCCACCAATCACAGCGACTGTTGCTACCGACGCTGCGCTCGGCTTCGAGGTCCGCTACAATCTACCTACCTGAACTGGGATCCTTCCCAGGTCTGTCCGAACCTCCAGTACCCGCCCACGGCTTTGTAAGTCGTCAAAGTGCGCCCGTCGCCCGTCGTAATCTGGAAAGACAGTGCTCCGCTCATCCTCGTTTTGCATGTCCACAGCGCGCCCCAGTTGCGCCACATGGGCACCCAATATCCGTTTCCTCCCCTGACCTTCACTGCCTTCAAATCGCCCGCCCCTCCCACGTTGTGAATCAGGATCATCAAGAAGTACGGGTTGCCTCCGATGGTGAACCGAATTCCGCCGCGCTTCGCACACCGGACCTTCCTGTAATACACCGGAGCCACTCCTCCCTCACGCCGTGCCAGCGTCAGGAAAGCAGGCATTGGCAAGTCGAAGTGAGGTCTCCAGTTGCACCAACCTCCGTGCGACCCTGGAGGGCACGAGTTTGTTGCGGTCACGGTGATGGTGCGAGAGTAGCTCCAGCACCAGTTGTGCACGGTTCGGGTTGGCGTCACCCACTTGCACCGCAACTGATAGCACCCGCCGCATGCCTTTCCCCCCTGGAACAGAGGATAACTCAACGCTGCGGTCATCGCCCCGTATCCCATCGCAAAGGTGTTCGGATACCCGCAGGCGCCTCCCTGCGTGCCCCCGCCATTAGCTGTTCCATAGTACGTGATGTGCGCCTCGTTCCACCCGTACGGCGCTCCCACCACGCAAGGCAGGACGCTCAGCGCCATCAAGGCGGCCATGCCAATGCAAGCTGCGACCTTCATGGTGGATGCAGCGCCCGGGGTCCTCATGACGACGTGTTAGAGCTGGTCTTAGCCGAGATGCGAAGCTGTGTCTGAGTGGGGACGAAGTCTACAGACTCGGTTTCTGTGGTGCGCTCATCAGGATGAGATGGTACATGAACTTGGTCCTGCAAGTGGAGGGATCGAAGGGAGCTCACGGCCTAATACATCAGATGCAGCGGGAATGTAAGGACTATCGTCTTCGGCGCTGCACTTATACCACCACCGCATTTCTCCTGGACGATGCGATTTCTCCTACGATTTCTGGCCAGTATTCGTAGAATAGTTCATCCATCTAACTATAACAAGTGCAGGTTCCGAAGCATTTGGCGGGCGCATACTGGTAAAAGCAAATTGTCTTCCCCCAGTTGCCAAGGCTGTCAGGCTTCGTCTGAACAGTGCATATTGAGCTCGGAGAAGCAGGCTGATTTCCAGCCAACCCGGCGCATTCGGCAAGTCACGTCACTCCTTGTATTAGAAACCCTGGTTGCATCCCCTCGTCACTTCGTGTCGCAGTAACTCTCTATTCAATCGACTGGCTCCGCCGTCGTTGGCCGTCGGATCGCAGCTGCTGCTCAGATGCAATCTCAACCGCCGATCGGATTTTTGGGAACGGAGGGGAGAACGTAGGGGAACCAGGGGGGCGGGCAGGTTGGAGGCCGGGCAGTTGGAGGGCGGTAGGGTGGGAACTCAGAACCCATTCCTCCCGTTGGCATGGGTGTTGAATTTTGTTCAGGGGCTACCTCACAATCCCACTTTGCAACCATCACTCTTGCTTTAAACCTTTTTTCTTTTCTTTTTTTCTTTTTTTTCTTTTTTTTTTCTCTCTCTCCTGTCATACACAACAGCACTCAATGTACATGATACTTTTGTTTCCAGGAAGAACTCTTGCAGCTCATAAATGTTTAAGGTAGTATTAGAATTTTTTATTAAATATATTATAATATATATTTATATACATATAGTGTAAAAAAATTAGAATTTTTTGAAAATGTATTTAAATTTTTTACATCACATTAGCATAAAACATAATGATCCAAAAAAAATAGAAAAAACCTTAAACATGGTTATTTAGATAATTTTTAGAACTATATAACATATATTATTTTAATATAAATAAATTTAAAATTTAAAAATAAAATAATAGGGTTTTAGTTTCATGACAAAAATATAGTTCAACTTTATAATGATAGTCTTAAAACTTCAATAATGTACAAAATACCTTGGTTTTGAGATATTGGATTCTATAAACATCCATCTTTTATTTTTTTTGTGGTATATCCTTTGTATTCATAGAATCCAATATGTATAATTAAAAAAAACTCTAAATTAATTTATTCATAAAAAAATGGTCTATATATATAATAAATTAACTTTTCATAAGAGCTATTAGTCTTGAAAACAATACAATAACAAAACCTTGTTATCAAAATGAATTAATGTTGATTTTTGCAATAGGCATCTACATTGACCATTTGTCAAGGACAAGAACTCGATGAAAAAACAATTCAGACAAGTGAGCCTTCACTCAAAGAGAGGTAACAAAATATATATAAACAAGTATATATATTAAAAGAGGAACTGGAATGGCTATTGCCAAAAGACAAAAAAGCTAGAGACCCTTGAAACTAGACTAGAAGCAAGAAAGGAGTTGACAAGAGTGAAGAAGCCTTCACTCTTGTCTCTATATATACTATCTAACTAGGGGCTACGTGGCGACGTTCTATAGGACCTCTAATATGTGTTGACTTTGTAGGACACATGCCTTGACTTACAAGGCAAGTTTTTCTACGTGTAGGCCACATAGTTAGCTTGATCTTCAAGCTAACAACATGTGTGGCACATGGCCAACTTGTTGACCACGTTCCTAATCCAAAAATTCAATTAAAGACATCTATGAAATCAAAGCAGCGTCTAGGAAGTTTTTAGGAAGCTTCCATATTAAATATTATAGAATTAACTTACTTTTATCTACTTTTACTTACTTCTACCTATTTCTATCTGTAATTACTAGCTTACATGATTATGGCCATGACATTACCCCCCCTTCTAGGGACGAGTTCCACAAGGAGCGGTCATCATATGTTGAGGAAATCTATGATGCGACGAATTGTATTCGCCACATACTCTGATCTTTGTTCTCTTCGAAGATGATTGATAGGGCCTCTCAATCATCGGTAGTGTCCCATACCAGGGCGGGAAGACCACCCAGTTCTTTGATCATTGTTGAGGCCTTCGTAACTTCCTTCGAATAGAATATTTGGAACACCATCAGGAGTTGTTCCTACCTCTAGCAAAATCACCAAACATCGGGAGTCCCTTTCCAAATCATGATACCAAACGCGTTGTATCTCACCATCTATTCGAGGAAGAACATGTCATTCTTGAAGATCTTCATCTCGATTGTGTCGTCTTGAAGTTTGTGACAATCGTAATGTCTCGTCCGGTAGGTCAGCAAATGAAGGCTCTTGAGTTGAATCCGCTGGTTGTTGGTTCTCCATCTCCTAAGCGCCACTACTACAACGAAGCTACGAACAAGAATTGAAAGTAGAATGTTATCTTGCCTAGATGTTGTTTCTTTTTATAAAGAAGGTTTTCATCTTGATTTTGATGGATGTCATCGATGAAAAGCCTCCACCGCCTTTGCTGCATTTGTAAGATTCTTTATTGGCTCCCATGTGCGTTCACTAATATCATATCTGTGCCAATGGATAAGATATTCTAATTTATTTCGGCGCCGCCTTGAATCTAAGATTTCTTCTACTTCAAACTCTTCATTATTGTCCACTTCTATAGGATGAGGTGGAGCTTGTCGTCTTCTTGGTATGTCCACTGTCTTGTATGGTTCAAGAAGAGACACGTGGAATACTTGATGGATTTTCATTGACTCTGGTAGATGTAAACGATATGCAACTGGATTGATTTGTACAGGAATAGAAAATGGTCCTAGCCTTCGATAGTCCAACTTGTTACAAGGACGAGTGGTCTTGATATTGTGACGAAGTAGCCGTACCTTATCACCCAAGATGAATGATGGTTGTTCCTTTCGATAGACATCCGCATTGGCCTTTTGTTGTTCTTGAGCCTCTTTTAACTTCACCTTCATCGTTGCATGTAGCTCTGATAAATGAATTGCCAAATCTTTCGCAGTAGGATTATCAACTTTTGAAAAGTCAAAAGTATCAAGTCATGGATGATAATCATAATTAGTAAAGAAAGATGTTTGTTTTGTAGAAGAGTGTACCGTGTTATTGTAAGCAAACTCTGCCAATGGCAAAAGAGTTGTCCAATCATCTTGTTGGTAATTAATGGTACATCTTAAATATTACTCCAAAACTTGATTAACACGCTCCGTTTGTCCATCAGTTTGAGGATGGAATGCCGAAGATAGTTTTATATCTACTTTAAGAATCTTGAAAAGAGTTCGCCAAAATCTTAATACAAATTGAGTTCCCCTATCTGATATAATATCCTTGGGTAATCCATGATAGCGATAGATATTATTAAGAAAGAGCTTAGCTGTTTCTTCACCTGTGATAGATTTTGTACATGGTACAAAATGTGCCATCTTGGTAAAACGATCTACTATCACGAATATAGAGTCATAAGAACCTGAGATTGGAAGATCCGTGATGAAGTCCATAGAAATAGAAGACTATGGTTGTTGTGGAATGGGTAATGGCTGAAGAAGTCCAAAAGGTCGATTACGAGGAATTTTCGATCTTGAGCAAACTTCACATGATTGTACAAAATCTTTAACTGCCTTCCACATTTGAGGCCACCAAAAATCCCTAGATATTAGCTCCAAAGTCTTATTATATCCAAAATGTCCTGCTGCTGGGAAGTCGTGACGAGCTTGAAGAATACGTAAACGTGCTTCTCCTTCTAGAACATATAGGCATCCTTCGAAATAGAGTAGGTTGTTCTTGAATTCAAATTTAGATGGATCATGAGATTTAGAAGAATTGTTCTTGATATCATGAACAAGAGGGTGTGAAGACATACTTAACTGGACTTGCTTAAAGAAAGTTAAATCAACAGTCAATGTTGATTTTATTGCCTGAAGATAAAATTATTTCAGCTTCAAGAGAACCGTTCTTTGTTGCTCAAAAGCTACATCTCCTTCTTTTGGTGCAAGATAAGAACGTCTAAACAAGGCATCGGATAAACCTTGTTGTTTTCCTAGCCGATAAGTGATGATGAACTCAAATTTTGATAAAGACATGCTCCAACGAGCTTGGCGACGATTTAATACGCGGGCTGACATAAAATATTTGAGGTTCTTATGATCCGTATACACGGTGATTGGACTAGAAGCGCCTTCTAGATAATGACGCCATTTTTGAAAAGAATCCATAATTGCAAGAAGTTCTTTGTCGTGGATCTCATAATTGATTTCTGCTGCTAAGAATTTTCTTGAATGAAAGGCTACTGGATGAAGTTTGTCATCTGTTCCCATTTGTGATAAAACTGCACCTAGAGCAAAGTCTGATGCATCTGTTTCCATAAAGAATGCTTTGGAAAAATCAACATGATACAAGATTGGTGCAGAAACAAACGTTGTCTTTAAAGATTCAAAAGCAACTTCCGCTTCTTGATTCCATTGGAGTTTGTCTTTACAAGTCAAACGTGTAAGTGGAGCTGCAACTCGAGAGAAGTCTTTGATGAAGATCCGATAGTAGTTGGCAAATCCCAAAAAACATTGGACATCTCTTACCGTTTTTGGGATCTTCCAGTCTATAATAGTTTGAACTTTCTTAGGATCCATCATAAGTCCATCATTCGAAATGATGTAACCTAAGAAATCAACTTGAGTAGTGTGGAATACACACTTTTCTATCTTGGCATAGAGTCCTGCATCTCTTAATTTTTGTAACACACGACGAACATGAAGTTCATATTTTTTTGGATTCTTAGAATAGATCAAGATGTCGTCTAGATAACATACCACAAAATCGTCCAAAAACTCTCAAAAAACATCATTCATTAGATGTTGAAAAGCTGCTGGTGCATTTGTAAGTCCAAAAGACATGACATTGTATTCAAAATGTCCATACCTAGTTCGAAACGCAGTCTTCCATTCATCATCTTCTTTGATGCGTACTAGATTGTATGCTCCCCGAAGATCTATTTTTGTATAGATCTTAGCTTGATTCAGCTGATCAAGAAGTTCGGATATTAA